TTTCCCTTCTCTTTTCCCACATCCCAGAAGCCCTTTACTCTTCAGTGGTTTCCTCATTTCACATTGTCTATCATACCTCCGAGTTTTGGCTCAAATTTATGATTCTTCTGCCTCAGCCTCCCAGAGCACCAGGACCACAGGCCTGTGCCACCATGATAAAGGCCATTTTTAAAATATGATAGATGAATCAATAAGAATGTAATCCAAGAAAAAAAAATACCCAAAAAACAAGAACAATACAAACTAATGCGAGGGAGGATTAGATGGAGGAAGCAAGCAGAACACTAATGGTCACTCCAAGGCTTGCTTGCCCCCATTGCCTCACTCCACTCCAGGGAAGAGTAAATTAAAAACACAATGAGATAGCATTACACATCCATTTGAATAGATAACACCAGGAAGTTTGACAATACCGAGCAACGGCAAGGATTAGAAGCAGCTGAAGCACCCATACTGTTGGTAGGGAGAAATCTGATTGCACCCACTTAGGAGTGAGATAGAGCAACTTCTCATAAAACTAGACATGTTCCTAATCTATGACCCAGAATGTCTATACCTAAGATAAATCAAAACATATGCCTGTGAATAAGGCTCACAGGAGAAAGCTTGGAGTAGCTTTATTCATAGTACTCAAAAACTGAAAATAGTTTAGTTGTCTATTAGAAGGAAAGGAAAAACACAAGCTATGGTATTCATAATACCCAAAAATGAAAGTAAGCCAGGTGTCTATCAGAAAGAAAAGGAAAAACAAATATTACTGACCAATATAAACAACAAAAAGCAATATAAAAAATAAATGATAGACACGCACAACCCTAGTGAAATTCCAAAACTTCACGTTTTAGTGAGAGAACACTTACATACAATGGCACACATTCTGTTATTCTCCTCAATGTGAAAGTCTAGAGCATCCTAAATGTTGCATAGCAAAGTTTAGGACTGTGGAAGGGGTGCACAGGAAAAGGTAGAAAGGAACAGGGATGAACGTCTGGAGGTTGGCAATATTTTAAATTTGATAGGAATTTGTGATGCATAGCTTTATTCACTTATCAGATTCAAAGAATAAACACACAAGAGCTTGATGTTTGTAAATCACACAAAAAATTTTGATATTTGTAAATCACATCCAAAGGAAGAACTATAGGAAAGTCCTGAACTCTAGCAAGCATATACTGAATCAGTAGGGAGGCAGTGTATGCATGTCTCAGTGTAAATTCAAAGACATCTGTTTCAGTTAATTTCTCATTGTGGAAACAAAATCCCCAACACTCATAAGTTAGGGAGGAAAAGTTTATCTTAGTTCGTAAATTGTAGCAGATTCAGTCCATATTCAACTGGTTCCAAGGCAGGGCAGCATGGCAGAGGGGCCAGAAAATTGCCCAGGAATGCTACATAAGGTATTGTTGCTAATAAATTAACCACATCATCAAACGTCCAGGATTTGTTTGTCAAGACCAGGACAGCTGTGACACAGTTTCAGGTGCATCCAACTCCTATTAAAGAGGGAAAAGTCCTGCCCACAGGTGACAGGAGGGCTCATCACACATACTTTATCAGGGAATGCCCCTCCCACACAGAAGGAAAACTGCAAGAACAGGAAGGAAAGGAAACATAAAATGATTGTACCAGACAGAAGTCTGAAGTGAAGCAGAGAAATGGAACCAGAATAGAAGGAAAGTCGTGGTGGAGCCTTATAGGGATGGTTGGGAGGGACAGTTCATAGTGCATCTAATGTAATCTTATAGCAGAATAAGGACAACACAGATGCCAGCCTCCCACATTAATCCCACCCTCCAGACATGCTCACGGTCCCAATGGTCAGCACAGGATCCTGATCTGCTGGGCCGGTGTCCACTGCCATCATCAAACACAGCCTAAGTTTAAAGTCCAAATTGCAAAGCTTTACACCTGAGTACCATGAGGTAGACATAAACTGTGATCAGCATGGATTACTCTGAAGCCACAGGAGTGCTGAGCTCCTGGGAACCACTGAGGAACACTGGCACAGACAGACAGATGGACAGACAAACAGACAGACAGACAAGGATTGGATATAGTAAGTCAGATGACAGAATATTTCCCAGCTGGAAGCCCCCAAAAGAATATATCACCCACCCCAAGACACCTCCTGCAGCTCATCATCAACCAGGTGCTGGGAAGGACACTGGGCAACCACAAAAGGAATCCAGAGAGAACAAGGACCTAACACTACAACAACCAATGAGAGGGTTGAGTCTAAGGCGCATTCTTCAAGGAAGAGGGGGACAGCAGGAAGCCCCAGATCAGAGATAGCAGTAAGGGTAACAGACACACAGAAGCAGCTCTCAGGGTTTTCCAGTGTAAGCCCTGGCTGAGCAGAGCTCACGTCATGGAAGCAGTAGAAGAGCAAGAGTGAGATGGACTTCAAGGCCCACATGTGCACACTCGCAAGGCTCAGCAGTGACCCTGCCGGGACCCACACAGCTCTTGATGATCCCAGAAAAAAAAAGATGCAGAGATTTAGAAAATACAGATGAGAGATGAAAGCTGAGGTCAGGAGACGCCCTTTTTCCACATGCGAGAAGAGGAACTGCACAGCATTAGTGGGGGCATTGATTTATATTTTGACAAAGTTAGTATCACTCCCACAGGTTTGCCTAGTGGCTATTGATTGGAATTGTCTCAGGCAAGAAGAAAATCTTTTCAGGATGGAGGTAGCTTGATTGATTTTGGCACTTTGCCCTGTCTTGTCCCAACACATGTAACCAGTTTCCAGCTTCAGCCACTCCCTACAGACCCGACTCCTCCACCACATCTGTCTCCTCCCCACAGTCTTCCCCAGGTTCTTCAGCATCATCGTAATACTCCTCCAACACCAGGTTCCCTGACACTGAGTTTCTCTCCTCTTTCTCCTCCACAGGAAGAGCTTCAATGTCCTCATAGATGCCCTCTGAAGGCAGGCACTCTGACATCCCAGGACCTGTGAAGAACACACAAGAATTTTAAGGAGAACCCACATTTGCACACCACATGTTACAACCTATTGCACACTGAGAGCCCTGGTCCTCTGAATCATCCCCTGGAGAACAGTCACCCTCACTGGAGCTAAACACTCACACAGGGCTAGATGTACAGTGAGGCTTGAGGATCTCAGGCCCTGAACCTGCCACTGAGAACCCTAACCGAGAATTGTAACACAATGAACTGTTCTCAAGACACTTTTGTGGGCCAAAAGGGGAGGATTGTCCTCAACAACTCATCTGAGAAACACAGTGACACATGGGTCCAGGATGCCCAGAACTTCAACATCTCATGGGTAAAGACAGTCAAGAAGCAGTGGTTAATAGGGAGACCAGAGGAGGGAGGCCTACCACTGCTGGCGCCTCCCAAGGTCCCTCCACCTTCTGTTGATAGTGGTTCTCTTTCTATGCCCACCCATGTACACGTACTCAGGCAGGTATCTCTGTGACAGTTCCGCTGAACACCCAGGAATAGGAAGATGAGGCCCAAAAGGCAGCCAAGAACCAGGCAGGCAATCTCCGGCAGGGTCCAGGCCTCAGCAACAGGTGCAGGGGCCAAGAAGGGAGCTCCTGTGACAAAGAGAAAGGCAGGGATTCCTGTGTGCCTTGGGGTCTATGAACCTGGGCTTAGACACCTCCAGCCTTTGAGGAAGAAGGTGGAGCATGCAGGAAAGCTGGGCTTCATTGCCAGTTAGAAAAGCTGATGTTTGCCCAGATAGGGCTCAACTTCACAAGAAACAGCAGCCCAAGTTCAGGTCTCAGATGGGTGGGACCAAGTAGAAGGTCCAGGTAGAAATTCTAAGTAGGTTTCTTACTCCTGGTAGTGTTAAGTAATGAGGACCTAGATAGATGTTGCAGTGTGTGCCAAGGGAAACCTCTGATGGCCCTGACTACCCCTGTCCTCAGTTCTCTCTTGGAAAAAAGCCACAAAGCTCAAGAAGCCACAGTGCACTAGAGCCAAACTTCACAGTCACAGAAGGAAATCCCCTGATATGGATGCTCTCAGCCCAGGATCTCTTCCCCACACTGGGTTCCCCACTCAGATGGACAGAGACAGCAGTTGGCATCAACTTAGTGTATATCACCATGGGTCTGGGACACGTGGAGAGAGGCTGAATGCCATGTGGTACAACCATGCCAGGCACAGTGTGAGCTGAAGATCTGTGCAGCCCCTCTGGGAACTGACAGAGAGGAAGATGGTGACTGTGAGTTGGAGCCATCTTCCTAATTCTGAGATGCCCAAGACACAAGCAGGAAAAATGCAGCCTTGAGCACCCACATGGGGAGGTATGGTAGCATGCTACAGCATGCACCTGCCCACACCTAGCAACAGTGTCCCACCCCACATGGTGGCAGGAGGCCAAAAAGAGGAGGAGGAAATAAGCCAATGCTTGAAGCACCAAGTTGGACCTCATGCATCAAGGCCCAGTGCTAGAGGACCCAGTTTTGCAGAAAGTGACAGACACATACAGACCCAGCCCCTGCACCTCCTTCCCACCCTTACTCACACCCACTCACCAGAGCAGTGCACCCCTGCATCCTCCTTGTGTTCACAGTCTCCATATCCCAGTGGCTGTGCGGGGCAGCCCAACAGGAAAGCCTCGCTTCCACGGCACCCCACCTCATCCAGCCACACAGGCCCTGACCCAGGACCAAAGGCAGCTCCTTGCACAGCATCCATGGCCTGACCACAGCCCAGCTGGCGGCACACGACCTCTGCATCTGCGAGGTCCCAGGAGTCATCACACAC